CCTGGCCGTCAATGGTCTCAACCAGCATCGGTGGATCCACTGGACACAGAGGGACAGCATACTTGGTCACAAATGCCATGTCCATAATTTGTGGTAGCCCTGGAATTGACCAGGGCATAGGCCGGAATCCCCAGCAGACTATCAGACAAGAGAATGCGTGCTGCCAAGATCAAGTGTTGGGGAGGCCGCCGATCCCTGTCTCTGTGTGCGCCCGACCTAAGGTCTCCCTCAGATCGGGCTCCTCCTGTTTCCTGACAAGTTGTTCTGTAGCTGAGGGGAGGTCCCAGACCTCGCAGCCCCCCTACTCTTCTTGGGGCAAACCGTGGCCATGTGTCTAGGATCCCTGCAATAGAAGCACAACCCCCCTGCGTGCCGTCTGTCCACCTCAGAGCATGACAAGCAGGGTTTGGTGGCACCCAAATTCATGGGCTCCTCCCATGGAGCTAGGGTCTCCTGCAGGATTGGCACTCCTCTGGTCTCCTGGGACGCACGGCAAGGCCCCCATCTCTGCAACTGGGCATCTATCCAGAGGCACAGGATCAGCACATTGAACGTCGGTGGCCTGTCCACCCGCACCAGCTCATCCTGCAGGTCGTCCGACAGCCCATCTTGAAAGGTGTCCATGAGGGCTGCCTCATTCCAGGCCAAATCTTGGCTAAGGAGCCAAAATTCGCTGACATAATCCTGCAAGGAGCCCCAGGCCTGCTGCTGTGTCTTGAGCAGTCTGGTGGCTGTTTCCTCCTTAATGGGGTCCTCATACATGAGTCTGAGGTACTCACAAAACCCTCTGAAATTGTCCAGCAAAGGGCTAGCCTGGGACAACAAAGGAGTAGCCCAACAAGCTGCGGAGTCTGAGACCAAGCTGATAATGAATCCTACCTTAGCCCGGTCAGTGGGAAAGTCCTCCACTCTCAGACTGATAAAAAGCTCGCATTGTCCCAAGAAAGCTGGAAACATGGCTTGGGTGCCATCAAACTTGTCAGGCATGGCAACTGGACATTTCCTCT